CCCCAAAACCCCAAAACCCCAAAACCCCGCTCATCTGTAATTATAAATGTGTGTATGTCTGTAAACATTTAGAAATCAAATTATTTTAATCTCTCAAACTTCATTTAAATATTTTGTAATCTTGCTTATATAAGTTGCCTCTTGCCTTATCAGTATTCATCTCTAAACCCCACAAAGATAATATGAACGGATTTTTTTCAATCTAATTCAATTACTTTTGGAATGAGTAGAGCTCTGCTAAGGACTTTCTTGATTAGTATACTATCTTCCTATTCTCTAGAAGTTAATGTGGCTCTTTGAAGGTCTCTTGCAGTTTGACTACCTTTCATGATGTTTTGATTTGAATTAGCACGATCTTTGAACTTCAATAATTTCTAGAGGTTAATGGCTTCCTACATGTCAAGATATCTGATGTTCTTTTTGGCTAATGGACTCGAGCTGATTTTATTCATATCAGGGAATGCTTAGTTTTAATCCATTTCGAATTGATCTTTAGGTCTGCCAAAAGGTACAACTAATTATATTAATAATGTCATACTTACGATTTCTATTAGTCTTTAAGTGGCTATCAAAATTAGGATTATAATCTAAGTGTGATGTAAGCTAATTGATTTCAAAAAGTTCTCCTCTTGGGCTGCTCTTTTGAATATTAAAATCGACTGATAATCTGGAAAGATTTTATATATTGAGGAATTTTCTTACTTTTGATTAGGAGAGTAGATCTTAGGGAAGTTATCAAATGTTTCAAATCTAGCGTCACTTGGGCCATCTACAGTATTTCTAAATATTGATCTCTTTCTCTGCAATGCGAAAAATAGAGTCTTAGATGACCCTTAGCTTTTCAATCTCTTGGCATCTACCTTCGTTTGTGATGAGAGTGCTCTCTCACTCAAAGTATTATACTATCTTAGAGCAGTGTTTAAGTTCCTTTGTTAAGAGTTTAATCTCTTCTTCATAAAAGGATCATCATTAAACTCAAGTTTTAAGTACTTTTAACAGATGTTTTGACCATCTGTACCATTTATATGGTTTACTGAAGGAGATCTTGATCTAGCTGAAGATTAAGGTGGGTCAAAAGTGAGGTATGCCTCCTCTCTTTTCTTTATAATGAGAAAGTTTGGCTGATAGAGACCTACAGGGGGACTTTATGGAGGTGCAACCTGTATCTGATGCATCTTCTCTCTACTTGTAACTCCAAAGATCTTATCCTTACTCTTATAGGTAAGCAAGTCAATGACTTTATTTCCATTTTCCTTCTTCCTAGAATTCCCCTTTCTTTTGCGTCTTGTTTCAGTCTAAGCTTAATCCTATCCTCCCTAATCTCCATCTTCTTTCTTAAGAGTCTGTTATCTCGATGGCAAGGCTGATTTAGATTCCAAAATTTGTAAATATCTGTTTTTACTTCTGTTTTTCATATCTATCTACTGCTGTTATTCATTTTAAAGTTTCTTGAAGACATCATCTCTCTGTTTCTTCTATTTAGCCTCATCTTTTTATCTTTGCAGTTTTAATTCTTCATCTTTAGATTCATCTAATTTAGCGTTGGGGACTTCATCTTCAGCTGCCTAATAGTAGATATTAATTAATGTTCAAGAATTTTTGAAGTTTTTATTGAATGAATTTTCATGAATAATATATATAATGGAAGTGAGTAGTTTTATAAATTTAGACATATACCTACCTTAACAATAAACTTCTTTTGGAGGGAATGTATTTTGCCCTTTTCATGATCGATCTAAAAATCTAACTCCTGCATTTATCTACTTGCTCTTGAGAATAGACCCTTCCTATCCACATAGCCATCAATGTCTATTTTAGATTATCATTAGATATTTTGTACTCTTAATTAGCTTATCTGAATTGGACTTTTTCATTTTTATTCTTAAAAATCTGTATTTAAAAATCATTTAGACTTAGGGGGTTTTGGGGTTTTGGGGTTTTGGGG